ACCTCTCCCTCGGCTGCAAGGAACAGTGTTGCACTCTCCCCTCACATGGATCCCAGGATTAAAACCTTTTTGCAAATGTTTAGAAATCGTAATATATATACTTTTATATCTCATATAAAATATATTTTGCAAAACAAATCTCAACGATTGAAATCGGCTACCGGCAGTCTTGGTTTTCTGATGAAGGATGATTTAACCCAACCTAAGAAACGGTGACACGTAGATGCCGACTTAGCATGAGCGACAACCTAGCGTTGAAGCCCGGAGCGATCAAGTGATGGGTCAACGAAGCAATCCGCTACGTTACAGCTCACAAGGGGAGGAGTCCGCCACGAGGCGAACTCCGGGTTCCCCGTGCTATCTTTGAAGAGATACTCCAAGGCAACTGTAGCTCGCGAGCTAAAGTTATCAGCTCGCCCGAACTCCCTAGCGGACAAGTCATTCCAAGGACCAATTTCACTAAGGGTAATCCTGGAGTGTTCCAAGCTCGCCACGAGATAGCTCGCGAACGATTCGCACTAGCGCCCTCCAGAGTGTTCCATATCCTCTACTGACGGTGCAGTCTCAGTCCTTTCGACAGGCAAAGGCGTGCCTGCCACTTTGGAAACATGTCACTCACCTGAGCGAAGCGTACACCACAACGACCACCTGCGCAGCCCTGGCCGGTAACAGCTGTGGCAGGAGCCCAGTGACGGTTATGCCCAACCTGATGTGTGTGTCCCTATAAGAGCCCTCAGGGCAGAAAGGAAACTTCTTCTTGAATCTCTAACCTCTTGAACAAAGTGGTAACGCGTTATCCTCACTCTTAGCCTTCGTTCTCCTTTCGCTTCTTGCACACAATACTAACTTAAGCATCGGAGTGTTCCCACCGAGAAACCCCTCGGGAGTTCTTCCTCTTTCCTCTCGTCTCAGGTACCTCTCAGGAGCCACGCAAGCGCCAGCTAGGAGTGACCGGATCGCGCAGCATCATTTGGCGCCGTCTGTGGGAAACACTTCAAAAGGCCTTTCTCTCTAAACTTTCTCAGTTCTTATCTTCCTCGAAACAATCCAACGCTCATGACTTCCTCTAGCAACGTCGGACGAAGCACGGAAATGGACAACTCCAGGGAACAACCCCAACTTCCTACTGTCTGT